CATCACATGATGGAGTAATATATACCTGCATCGTGACAAAATGGCTTTCTATTACTCTTACTAATGCTCTGTCTCATTCTCTTTTCTTCTGTCTTTCTCATTTGCCCTTTCTCTTCTGTCTTTTTCATATTCCCTCTCTCTCTCTCTCTTACCCACTCCCTACAGAGTAAGGGCTCAGTAGTGCTCCTATGACAGCATCAGTAGCTAGTGTAGCCTTGAGGACATCACTCTCAAACCATCTGTTCAACACGTGGAGGGAGACACTTGATAATGATACAGGAGTATGATAATGGGTTACTTATCTTGGAGGCTGGTGACATTACCAGGTCATAGAAACTGGGCAAGTCAGTTTTCAGACTAGACACTAGTTTTGTACAATAATTTTATTTCATATTATATTCAATACTCATCTCTTACACATTTTCCCAAAAGGTATCATTGATCTGATTACTTGAACACGATCTCTCCAGCTGCTCGAGTTAATGTGAGACAAATTGAAAGGAACATAATCCAAGAGAGGGTCAAGACTATAACCTATCACATGACAGTCACACGATAATTCTACATTTTGGCTAGAGTTTCTGATGCATTTATACATATTAAGTTCTTTTATCTGAAGTAGCAGTAGCTCATGAATGGCTTACTTAGTCTTTCTAGCCATTCTTCATAATCTGCATAAACCTTTAGCAACACTTGAATCACAATCATTAATGGTGGCTCTTACTTTAGCATCCTTCAATGAAAATTTAGCTATTTCTTTTCTATTTTTGTTTTGGTCTCCGCCCAACAGAAGGCTCTCATTACTGTTGATGATCGGAGTGAAGGAGTTGGGGTCACGGAAATAGAACTTTAATCCGTGTCTCTAAAAAATAATAAAGTAAAATGTGATAAAAATTTGGGGTGATTTCGGAGCCATTTTTTGGAAAAAACCATGGGCTATAGCCTTGGGTATTTTTCAGATTTTCAGCATTAGTGTGATTTTTTACTTTTAACTCGAGGTCTTTAAATACAACTGGTCTTAGTAAACTCAGTAAATACGAAGCCCGTGAGAACTTAAATCCAGGAACAATCTCCTCAGTCACAGCTGCACCTCCTAAAACATGACGTCTCTCAAAAACGGCAACTTTCTTTCCTGCTTTAGATAAATATGCAGCCTAGAGAGTATAAAAAAGAATAAACCAAATAAAATAATAATAAAGTATTTATTATTATCAGCAATAATCTTACGTACTGCAACAAGCCCATTGTGTCCTATGAAAAAGAATATATTCAGTATAAAACAAGTTATTATAAATACTCGTTATTGATACCTCCTCCAACAATAACAGCATCATACGGGGCTTCAATGGTCTGCGTGGAAGGTATGGTGGTTGTATCAGAGTAGCTCCTCAAGAGAGAGGTTGGTTGGAAGGCTCTGAATGAGAAAAGAGTTCCTCTCTGATAACCTTTCCTTAACATGTGTGAAGACATTGCCATAAAAAGGCGGGGCTAGGTGGGTGGGGCTACTTGTCACCTTGCAGAAAAAAATGATGAAAGTTCCTGACAGGTAGGCAAAAGTATTATATTATCTAATAATTCCTTTGCATTGAAGGTGGTTGGATTATACTCCTTTAAAAGATCATATAGAAGGAACTAGAATAATAGCG